ATTTTGACGATGTCTGTTCTTAAAGCATGTGTGTTAAATACATTTTATTATAGAATTTTGAATATTGGCATACACATTCACCACTTTTCTACTGGTGTAATCAGGATCACATAGAATTTCCTAAAACCAAGTAAAACTAAATAGAAACGTCTGTTCAGAGCAGTTAAAAAACAAATATAATTTCATTCAAAGAGAAAGATCAAAATTGCATTAGCCTTATCATCATTTGACTTGCACTTGCTGGCTATCTCATTTGTAATCACTTCTTTTCTAAATACTTAGACCCATATTTAAAAAAGTTGTAGGCACATATCAAAGGCAGAGCTTGCTATATCAAATTTTCAATTATATTTCCCTGTAGTTTCAAATGTGCACAAATTATATGCTCAGGAAAATATTATACAGTTCAAATATTTGCTGAATGAAGTACACAAATGAAAAGTGCTTCCAGCTCTACAACTTTGCCAGGTACACATGGTGGGTGTTCAGATGCGTTACCATTACAAAGATCATGACTACAAGATACATCTTGTAGTATCTTGCCTTTGCTTGCCATAAATAATGTTAAAAAAGAAAAAAAGAAAAATCAACCCATAGTCAGAGATTGGCAATTTTTGATGATGCACATAGTGGTCCCTTAACAAAAGGAATTGAATAAGATCTCCTCTTCCAGCTTAAGGGTCACTTTCAGCAGTAAGACAATGAACTTTCCCTGAGAAGGAAAAGCTTAAAATCAGGAATCATTTTCCTGCAGTGATATTTTCAGTATGACAACACTGATTTTTCTGAGCACAGAAGACATCACACTTCAAAGAGTGACGCTTTCTTGGGTGTTTTGCCTGAATTTAGGGCAGAAAGTGTCTCTTGTGAGGGGCATGGAAAGACATTCTTAGCTCAGGCTTTGTTGTGTAGGGTATTTTCAGACTGATATAGTCTTGAGTAACGTGAAATGTCAGAAGTTTCTACAGTTTCCCCATGAATGGGAAAAAGCAATGAAATACTCTTTGCGAGTGCAACTGCACTGGCAAATGATGGCTCTCCAGTGGACTATGAGGTCTAATTCCCTCCTTCCCTCCTGTGTCTATTGAGCACAAATATTATTTCATTCCCAACCTTTTTTTTGTTTGAGGAACCTTTTAGTTTGCTCTAATTAAAAAAAAAAAAAAGACAAAAAACCTAAAACCAACCAAACAAAAAACCAACAAAAAAACCAACCAAACAAAAAACCCTGCTGAAGTTCTGGATATAGTTCACTCCAGAATCTGCTTTCATGAGGTAGCATGGAGCAGTTTGCACCTCATATGGCTGTATTCATCCTCTTCCGATGTACTCTGCCACTACCCCAAGATTTTTACACTTACTATTTCATACACGCAAAAATAATTATTTCTTAAAATCACAGGGGCAACATAAGGGGCCTTTTACAAGCTCAGGAGTGTTGCATCCCAACTAGAAGGAAATGCAGCAGGAGGGCCAGCAGACCTCCTTGGATGGATAAGGAGCTGCTGAGGAAAACTGAAGGAAAGAAGAGACTTATAAAAGGTGGAAGCAAGGACAGGCAGCCTGGGAAGGATACAGGGATGTTGTCTGGTAAGGCAGGGACCAGGTTAAGAAAGCTAAGGCCCAGTTAGAATTAAACTTGGCTAGGGATGTTAAGTATAACAAGAAGGGATTCTACAGGTATGTAGTGAATAAAAGACAGGCTAGGCACAACGTAGGCCCCCTCCTATCAGGAGAACTGGCTACCCTGGATTTGGAGAAGGCTGAGGTTCTCAATGACTTCTTTGCCTCCGTCTTCCCTGGCAAAGGCTCTGACCACACCACCCAAGTCTTGGAAAGCAGATGCAGGGACTGTGAGAATGAAGACCTTGGGCCCACTGTAGGAGAGGATCTGGTCTGAGACCATCTTCAGAACCTGAACGTGCACGAGACCATGGGACCTGAGGAAATACATCCGCGGGTCCTGAAGGAACTGGAGAATGAAGTTGCTAAGCCACTATTCATCATATTTGAAAAATCATGGCAGTCAGGTGAAGTTCCTAATGACTGGAAAAAGGGAAACATAACTCAAGAGGGGAAAATGGATGACACGGAATTACAGACCAGTCAGTCTCACCTCTTTTCCTGGCAAAATCTTGGAGCAGATTCTCCTGGAAGGCATGCTAAGGCACATGAAAAACAACAAGGTGCTTGGTGACAGCCAGCATGGCTTCACTAAGGGGAAATCCTGCCTAACCAATTTGGTGGCCTTCTATGATGAGGCTGCAGAACTGATGGACAGTGGTAGAGCAGTTGATGTCATCTACCTGGACTTGTGCAAAGCGTTCAACACTGTCCCACACGACATCCTTGTCTCTAAATTGGAGAGAGATCAATTTGATGGATGGACCACTCGGTGGATAAAGAACTGGCTGGATGGCTGCACACAAAGAGTTGTGGTCAATGGCTCAATGTCCAACTGGAGACCAGTAACAAGTGGTGCCCCTCAGGGATTGGTGTTGGGACCGGTCTTGTTCACATGTTTGTCTCTGACATGGACAGTGGGATTGAGTGCGTCCTCAGCAAGTTTGCCGATGACACCAAGCTGTGTGGTTCAGTTGATACGCTGGAGGGAAAGAATGCCATCCAGAGGGACCTTGACACGCTTGTGAGGTGGGCTGATGCCAACCTTATGAAGTTTAACCATGCCAAGTGCAAGGTCCAACACCTGGGTCGGAGCAATCCCAGGCAGAGCTACAGGTTGGGCAAAGAAGAGATTCAGAGCAGCCCTGCAGAGAAGAACTTGGGGGTGTTGGTTGATGAGAAAATGAACATGAGCTGGCTTCAGTGTGTGTTTGCAACCCAGAAAGCCAACCGTATCCTGGGCTGCATCAAAAGGAACGTGACCAGCAGGTCGAAGGAGGTGATCCTGCCCCTCTACTCTGCTCTTGTGAGACCTCACCTGGAGTATTGTGTGCAGTTCTGGTGTCCTCAACATAAAAAGGACATGGAACTGTTGGAACAAGTTCAGAGGAGGGCCACGAGAATGATCAGAGGACTGGAGCACCTCCCATATGAAGATAGGCTGAGGAAGTTGGGGCTGTTCAGCCTGGAGAAGAGGAGGCTGTGTGGAGACCTCATAGCAGCCTTCCAGTATCTGAAGGGGCCTATAGGGATGCTGGAGATGGACTCTTCATTAGACACTGTAGTGACAGGACAAGGGGTAGCAGCTTAAAACATAAACAGGGGAAGTTTAGATTGGATATAAGCAAGAAGTTCTTTACTGTGAGGGTGGTGAGGCACTGAAATGGGTTGCCCAGGGAAGTTGTGAATGCTCCATCCCTGGCAGTGCTCAAGGCCAGGTTGGACAGAGCCTTGGGTGAGATGGTTTAGTGTGAGGTGTCCCTGCCCATGGCAGAGAGGTTGGAACTAGATGATCTTAAGGTCCTTTCTAACCCTAACTATTATTCTATGATTCTATGAAATAATAACCAGGATAAAATATTGTGTAGTGTGAATACCACCATTTTACCCACAGGAGGGTAAGCATGTGCAGATGAAGAGGGAGTACAAGCTATTCTGCCCAAGCTGCAGTTGTATGTGATTCTTTTTCTAGTATGGTGTGTGAGTCTTCAGTTTTTTCATGTATCCATATAGGAAATTTAATTCTGTCTATAAAATTATTTGGAGAAAGTGAATATTTTATGGGTAGTCACTACTGGCAACAACTGTGATTAGTCACTGCTGGCTACCATTGCAAAATTACTGTACTGCAGGTGTAAAAGAGAAAGATGATTTTTTACCCTTCTACTTTTCTTCCATACTTCTTTTTATGCTCTGCTATATTTAAATTGTGAAACTGGCTGCCACAGGTTTTCATGGAGATCAGAGATACCAGTGGTTTGAAAAAAACAAAGCAAGTAGACTATTGTAAGTCTAGTAGAAGCTCTTCAACAAGAAAATTTGGATGCAACATCAGATTCAGGAAGGCCCCTACCTTATTCCTTGCAAGGGACTAGGAGGCATATAGCTAAGCTGACCCTTTTTTGTAATATTTTTTCACAGTGCGTTCAGTATTTACACAAGATCACACACTGTACAGTTCTTGCACTCTTATGTAGTGTTCTTACAGCAGTTCTTACACTCTTATATAGACTACAACAACTCATACTATGAAGTTGTCTTAATAAACACGTGAATTTTTTTTTTTTTCAGGTTTTGCTTCCACAGCTCTTTGTATTCCAGGCACAAATGCATTTTATAGAAGTTATTTACATTTAGAGTAGCATGCAGTTCTTCACAAGAGGAAACTATCTCACTGACTCATAAATGAAGAACAAAATTTAAAAAATCTCCATATTGTAACGATGTTTGTAATAACCAGATTTTGACTGGTCAGCTTTTGATTGCTGTTTTTAACATCAGAAGCTGTTGGTGTAGGGTTTTTGTTTTTTTAAAATGGTAACTACTCTTTTGGTTTAGATTTGCCAGCTTAAAAATCACAAATCCATTTTCACAGCTCATATAAAGCTCACTGTATAATTTCTAGCACAGCAAGGAAAAACTCGGTAGATAAGTAGAGAAAATGATTTTGAAACTAAGTCAGCATTTTGAAGGAATTTGATTTATAAAATGCAATTTTTTGCCTTCAGTAAATCCTTGAAAGTCATTATGACCTTTTTTTCTAGTTAACTTTCTTTAATATGCCTGGTGATGGAAATAGCTATTTACAGCATTTAAAGTAGCTTTACAAATGCTGTATGAAAACCACGGTTACCTTTATTTCTCTGGCACTATTTTTCATTAATATTTTGGTACACAAGAAAATGCATTTTCACAGAAACAAAACAGGCTTATAGGAGCAAAACCCAGTCTTGAATTAAAATCAGGGAAGCAAATATGAACAAAACAACGGTCCTGTTATGACTATACTGCAAAATTGCTACTATGTTGCCTTAAAGGAAGCTAAACTATGAATTTTATAGGAAGGTCTAGAGAAGTTTCAAAAAAGTAGCTTTTACCTGATTTGGTGTTCTTTTCCATTCTGATTTGGGGGTAACAGTTTCTGAGAATGTCCTAGAGCGGTTCTCTGAACGATATAAGCCTGTACAGTGCCCAGGAGATGCCAAGTCTGCCTGGAAGTGCTCACAGAGGGGTGTCACACCCCCAGCAGTTCACATCAACAGAACTCCCCCTAAAGCAAGAAAATCAGAAAAGGTACAGGAAATTTTCAGTGTGATTTTACAGCTAAATTTGAGCATAAGAATCCTCTGTTAAGACAAACGGTGATGGGTTTATGGGGTCTGGTAGCTCCTTCTTATATGAAAGTCTCCATGACTGCTTATGGATGGAGACACTCTGGTTTTCTCTGAATAATGGAAACCAAAGCACAAAGACATAGAGGGCTAGTGATGTCAGCACTGTGGGAGATGAATAGGCTGTATGTACTACAGTCTCCTGTTATTAATTTTTTTTAACATTCAGACTATAATGTAGTGAGGAGTCTTGTCACATCATTATTTAGAGCCAGACACCAGAGAGATAGAAGTTAAACAAATTTGAAACCTGTTCATTGCCCCAGGCATGTTTTACTTTGCCATTAGGTTCAGTTCATTTCAGCATTCCACTTTTAATTGCTCACTTAGTTAAACTTGAACTTATGATTACTGTTACTACTTTCAATAAAGCCTGTTTTGTGAGGGCTTCATTACTGTTGCCTCAGGATAACAGCTGCTAATTTGTTTTATTACTATAATACATTTTATTTAGATTTTTCTCTTAAAACCACTGGCTGTGGTGCTTGCAGTCATTGTTGTCATAGCTGTACTCTAACAGCTAGTTTGCAGGGCTGGCATAGCCTACCGGACACTGTATAGGGCAGAAAGGTGTACTGATGAGTCAGATGTACCAATGTGTCCCATTTATACCAAAGGCTTGCTACATGACTTTGACAAAATAATTTCTTTTCCTGTAAAATACAGACAGTAATACCTGCATTTCCTGTTAGGGGCTTAGATGCTTTCTGATAAACAATATTAGATAAAAGCAACATATTTTCTAGCAGAGGTTATACACTGTTGTTTTATACCACTCGTTCACTGAACACTGGGGCAAATTCAATCTCCGCAGTACAGTTATTATTTTAGCTTTTTAGCTGGTGAACTCCAGTGTTAGAGACCTGTGGGACAAATTCAGCTGTTACTTGGATATGCTTAAGAATTACAAAGTATTGTACTGTTATCATGCTGCAGTTAATTGGAATATCTTGGAAATGTATAAGAGGTAGATGAACCCGAATTTATGGCCCAAGTGCAGAAGGCAATCTGGGTTCTGAACTAGTTATTTTGGCCCTTGTATTTTTCTCTGATGAATAATATAAGCAGAATACTCCCTATTAGGCTCCTGAAGCTTGGATGCTCTGGCTATGATTAGCAAGTATAAAAGATTTACATCGCCCAAAAGGATCCTGAAGCAGCATAACAGTAAGTATGTGCCCCACCACAATGCCTCCCAGAAAGGTTTGTATATTTGTCTGCATGGAGCTGAGCTTCCAGCCCACTGCAATTTCTCAGGGTTGCAAGGAAATGTAAAGAGCTTCATTTTTTGATCCCTTGCTCAGACCAAAAACGTGATCTGGTCTGAATTTTTTATACTTAAATCTGGATACTGACATATAAATCATACCTGATTCACCCACTATTTCTGTATTTGGTGCAGTAATTACAGTGAAACCTAAACTGACATAATTTGTATAATAAGAATAGCAGAAAAAGACATATATTTCATTGTTTCAAACTCCATATATGTTATCTCAGAATCAGGCTATAAAACACTGTTCTAATTACTTTTTTGGATACATTATGCAAGTAGTGTTACCTCTTTTACCTAAAGCTGTTCACTTAAGACTCCACAGTAATTGAGAAATTAAATGTGCTTTAAAAAGGCAAGAGCAGAGGAGGAAGACTTTGTAACACTCAACTTTAGATTTGTAACTTAGGCTACAAGGGAACAATTCTCCTAAAATCATTCTGCTTATAAGTGTCTTTCCAAAACATCTGGATGAAGCACCTGACAGCTATTCTGCCCAGAACTCAGGCACCGTCACAGAAAGAAGTGGTCCACTGGGCATTAATCCCCAGCATACCATCAGGAACAAAGCTAAATCTAAACTATACAAAAGCCTAGCTTACATTCAGTAAGAAGAGATGAAATATCAAAACCTCACAACGGCAAATAGATTAATGCTAAGCATCGTGGAATCTTGCAGACTGTAATTTATGAACACAGAGAAAGCAGATTGTAAGTATCATGTCCAGTGAGAGTCTGGAAACTTAGACATGTGCCCCAGGAACAAAACACACAAGAAATTTCCACTATTTTTGGGTTACAAAACCTTCCAAAACCCTGTTAACTAGAGGGACGATTGTATCAGTAAACCTGTTGGGCTGAATTTGTGGCTGTTTATCTCTGACCACTCTGAAAGCCAAGTGCTTCTGAGCTTTAGGCCACCTTGTTTAGGTAAGCAGTTTTGTAAAGTTGGGTCTCAGCGCACTTTTGGGACAACCAATTTCATAGCAAATTGCACCACTGACCTCTGCTGAAGATAATCAGTATTGCTCACTTTTTTAAACTTGTTTCCTTATCAATAAGAGCTACAAGGGATTCTCCCCTCAAGTCAACCTGCAGGGGCTGGAGATTGAAGCTGAAAGGATATTTTGGCTGTCAGATCACGGAAGTAAAGACCATTACCTGAGCTAAGGGACAAGACTGGCATAAAACCACTAAGGTACACCTTTGTCATGGATACATTTATTTTGCAAGAGGAAAGACATTTCCTTTAGTGCAAACAAAAATGTCGAATTGGATGGTGCTGGAGTTCATGAAAAGGACTGTATTTCATACACATATGAAAGAGGCTTAATTTGAAGCTTCAGTATCTAATTTCACATCTGATGTTGTTCTGTTTCCACCTATTATCACAGCACTCCCTTTGAGTTTAGCTGCAAAGCTACATCACTGAAAACCTCTGATTTGGAGATTCTTCTGCTTTACAAATGACTTGTAGTCACCAAATATCACTGAGAAATATCAATATATTTCCTCACAGATAAATATAAAAGGGTCATACATCTGTAAGCACTTCCATTCATATTGTAATACAGTGTAAACTTTAAGCACAATTAAAAACTTAATCTTCAGATCTGTCAGTGCCACCTCGAGTTTTGCTTTCAGATACCCAGTCAAACCAGGACACTAGTATTTTCACAGTGTCACTATACAAGCTATTCCAGAGTTGAAGCTCCTTTACTAATCATGGAGAATTCAAACTTCCTGCAACAGAAAAGCAGGTAAAAAATATAACACCATGATCACCTATTAGATTGCACAGTTTGTCTTTGATTGAATCCAGGACACAGAGAGCAAAAAAGATTCAGAGAGCATACAAATGTAAAGTAAATATAATTTCATTATTGAAAGACTACAATATTATAATGACAGGCAGAATGAAGAAGGCAGGATGTACTATGAAGGGAGAAATAGAGGAACAACTGCAGTTTCTTTCTGAGGGTACTGTATTTTAAACTAATTTTTCCCTGTTTTGACCTTGATGACTGTTTCCTTCAATGCACTTCCTTCTTTTCCTTCTATTTACTCACCTGAAGTTCCTCAAAACTGTTTACCTTCTTTCATCATTTCACTGCACTTGCTTCCATCACTGTCTTTTCGCCTTAGCTCCTATCCGGTTTCCTTAACTAAATAACAGCAAACCAAGGAATTATCTATACCACACAGGAATATTTATGACATTTTTTAATTCATTTTGTGCTCCTGACTTTTCTTAGAGGGATTTAGGTAAGACAGAGTGTTGAATCCACAATAAACAATTTTCATCATGGAAAACAGCATTGAAATAAGTGTCTGCCATAGTATCTGCATTTTGGTCTGCTGGTACATAAATTTTTGGAAAAGCAGTAGTAATCTTCATATCCTAGTAAAAGAGGATAGAACAACTCTCTTCCTTGCTCCTCCAGGGAGCTGAAAGAATTTGTCACTGATAAGGAAGTCATCTAGAAGGCATTTCTAGGATATCAGTCAGGCTTATAAGCAGCACAGCAGGAACCATATCAAGGAGACCAAAGCAATTAGCAAGCAAAAGTCAATTCCCTGGTGAGACTAAGAGATGTCTGAATTCTACTATTAGCTGGCCTATTCTAAAGTTTTAACTGGGTTTTGTCTGAGTTTATTCCTGGTTAGAAAGGTCATCAAATATACTTTTTAAAAGTGGTGGAAATACAAAGCATATTTGATAGTCATAGGCAATATTTTTGTAATTGATTCATCCGTGCAGCTCTTCCAACCTCCTCTGGTAATTTAGGACCTGTATTTTGGAGAGTTTAGGGTCTCCAAATCCTATGAATTCAATACATGAATTAACTCTAATGCTCTGAATGATCCTTAATAGCCTAAATCTCCAGAAAACAGTAAAACCAGGCATGTAGGGTCCTAAATCTACCCTCTTTCAATATAAAACCATTCACCCTTGTCCTGTTACTACATGGCCTTGCAAAAATACCATCTCAAGCTTTCTTGTAGGCCCCTTGAAGGCTGCTATCAAGTCTCCCCAGAGTCTTCTCTAGACTGAAAAAGCCAACTCTCTCAGCCTGTCTTCACAGGAAAGGTGTTCCAGCTGTCTGAGCATCTATGTGACTTCTTCTGGGCTCGCACCAACAAGTCCATGTCTTTCCTGTGTTTGGGGATGAATGCAGTACTGCAGGTGGGAGTCTCATAAGAGCCAAGGAGAGGGGAAGAATCACCTTCCTTGATCTGGGAGGTCAAGGTTTTTTTGATGCAGCCCATGATAGGGTTGGCTTTCTGGGCTGTGAGTGCACACTGCCGGCTCATGTTGATCTCATCAACCAGCATCCCCATGAGGGCTGCTTTCAATCCATCCCCTGCCCAGCCTGTAGTTGTGCTTGAGATTGCCCTACCTGGGAGCAGGCCTTGTTGAACTCCACAAGGTTCACACAGGACCACCTCTCAAGTCTGTCAGCCTGTCACCAACAAAGATGTTAAACAGAGCTGCTTCAAATAAGGATTTTTGAGGGGTTGAGGTTTTGAACTATTTTGAAGTATTCTAGTCTTTGAGACCTATTTTCTTCTAATTTGGGATTTTTAAAAGTTAGTGTCCTGATTCTTGGTTTGTTAATCATTCGCACCCACTAACATCTGAGATACTCTCAGGTCTCCTGTCAGATCTATTTTTAATTAGTTGCAAATACAGTGATGAATTATGATCCCTGTAAGGATGCCTTAAACAGCACCAGGCACCAATATTTAGGTGACTGAATCATGCTTGTATCCAGATTCCACAGACTGTGAGTACTTCTACAGGCATTTCCACAGGATGATTTATCCTATCCACCTTAAATGTCATATTTTAGTCCACTCTTACCCATGCTGCCCTTCCTGGGCTGCCTAAATATCCCCATTAACCAGAGAGCAATTTAAACTAGATTTTTAATTTTCAGACAGTTAAAATCAGATTATGTGAAATCTAGTCCTTATCTGTCACACTGATTTTACTGACATTCATTGTTTTAGATAACAGGTTACAGCAAACCTGGACTCACTTTTTAGAGTTGAGCTGAAAATTAATGTAGCTTTTCTTTGGTAATCTTTATACGTAACACTTTAACATAAAAGTAGCAGTGAAGGCCCTGCTATTGTATTCAGGACACATCTTACAAAACTATGGAAAACAAACTATTTTCAACTATTTCCAAGTGTAGTTGAACTGTCACGGAGGGTACATGACAGTGTCATGAATTATGGCATAAACTATAACAACAATTTACAGGGAGTTTTACTGAATTGCTAAACGTATGAAATGTTATTGATGCACTCACTCTACTTGATATTAAACATTTAAAAAAAACCCTCAAATAATATTTTTGCCATATGGAGACAAATTTGATCTTACCATGGATATGGTAATCATGAGAAAATTTGCTATAGTCATTTAACCATTCTATGCATCTGTTTTAGCCTATGAGGAGGTCAGATGTGAAAAATACTCTCTCTTTCTATATCAATTACTAGAACTGGAGAGAAAAAAAAACCAAACAAAGTAACAATTTTATAGGAAGATATTCCATTCCTGCCTTGCGTTTATACTATAGTTCCAGTTTCTTACAGGGGTGACCTACTTAGCTTTACACGAGAGAGCTAAATAGTAATCCATCACACCGGATAATTTGATATACTCACTATACTTTGGCAAGCCTTATTCCTAGCTTGATGTTGCACAGAAAGACTGTTTCTGGTATTCAATCTAGTTAGCTTGTTTAACACAAATGTAGGAATCTTTCCACGATAGCTGTTCAAGTCTATCATTTTAGTATGATTTGTAAGAGTTCTTTCCCCAGTGAGTTCTCTGATATTTTTCTCTAAATAAACAAGACACTTATGAAGTCTGCCTATATCAATCTATCTGTAAGCATTGGTTAGATACCTGACATTTGCAGGCAATAAAAATACAGGGTTTTAAACAAGTACCCAATGGAGCTGTTCTGTCTGGCATCACCTTTATTGCCAGGGGCTGCACAAAAAGAGCCTGGATGTATTTATTAGATGTTGTTTGTGTTAAGAATGTATCTCTTGGTACTGGATGTAAAAGGTTACTCTGAATCATGTTAATGTGCAAATCTAAAACAATTTGTAAATACCTCAGTCAGGCTGACAGATAGGTTGTTGACAGTGCTGCTGCCAGGGAAAGGGAAACACTGGGTTTATGAAAGGAATTCTTCACGCAGAAAGCAATCTGACACCAAAGAAACTAAACCAAATGAGGGACATGAAACTGCCTCCAAAATACACTGCCTAGCACTGGATCATGTGAAATGATGTCTGTAGAACACTGAAGAAATGCTGCATACTGAATTACTTTAGAAAAAATCACTAACATAAACATGTCATGGTCTCTTTTCATTGTCACTTCATAACACACTTCAGTTTTGAAATTAAATGTATTTTCAGATTTACACTTAATATGGATAGATAAACACAAAGGTGAGAGTTTGTCACTGACACAAAAAAGGTAATGCAAAGTTTAAAATGAAGTTGCTTACTCATAATTATTCAGTAACACAGTAGCACATGTTCATACATAGCTCAATGAAAAATCTCCCTTGTATGTCCAAGTTCTGCTCAGCATGTAGCCAGTAGGATCAGCTGTAAGATCACCATGGATCTGTCTTTTCTGTAATCCAGAAGAAAATAAAATGGAAAGCAGCATTATACCAAGTTAGCCATTAGTGAAAAGTCCTCGTAATCTGATACCAAACAAAGTATAACGGGACAATTAGACCCAAGATTAAAAATCTTAATGAACATCAATGTAAAAATTAATAAACTGCATATAACTATATATTTTATTGTGTTAATATGCAATCAATACTTCCTTATGACTACCAGCAGTATTACCAAACTGATTTTCTCTTCCCAGCTATTTTGTTTGCTTTAATTCACTTACACAGGGTAATGACATGTCATGCAACACTCTTGTTCAACTCAATAACCTTCTACTTAATACTGACAATGTATAACATTAGCATTGGATACCAGATCCCCATTCCTTCTACTGTCTAACTGTCTGTGAAAAGGAAAAAAAAAAACAGATTTTAATATGGAATAAAAATTGTGAGGATTGTAAGAGAACCCTGCCTGGTTCTCTTAACCTCTCAGAGAAACCTACCCTGGAAGAAGATTTCACTGGTCAGATCTTTATTATTTGATTCCATGACCTGACCCAATGCGGTGAAACTTGTATAAGTTAAAATCTCTGTACTTGTCTCCTTTGATGGAATTTTCAATAAAAAATGAAAATAAAAGAGCTGGGTTATGGGGATGAGGTGAACTATAGTTGCTGGGTTTCCCATGTGGCCTGAGGATACTTGCTGGACCACTCATAAGACTTTGGCTGAGAAAGATTTTAGGTTGCAATTAGATAGAAACATAAGAAGTGATTGATTTTTTTTCAGTCTTTCCTGATTAAAATGGCTCTGAAGAGAGGCATCACACCTGAATACCTAGAATGACCCAAGCTTCTTAATTTAGGTCACTGGCCTAACTTTTTACAAATGGTTTGTTCACACTCAAGTCCAAATAATTTCTTTTAGGCATTTTGGACTTGATACACAACATCAATCTGTCTGACAAGTGGTATCTGTCTGGTGGAATTAGACTCACCACACATGTATAAAACATTATACGTTTGATGACCCTAGGTATGTTGTTCATAATTACTTATTTGCACAACATTTTAATGAGCAATATAGAAACAATCACCAAGCAAAAGCTAAAAATAAAGTCCAAAGAAGGCTTAAAAAAAACCCTGACATTGAACCTTTAACTTTCTGAAGAATTTACAGTCAAGTATTCAGAAGAGAAAAGCACACTCATTTTCTGCTTACTAAGAAAAAAATAAAGGAAAATAAAGGGGGGAACTCTTTCTTTTCCCTAGCTCTCTAAATGAGATTATAATATTTTAAAATGAAATGAATAATATTAAGTAATATTATTGCAAATAACAAGCTTAGTTTGTGGAAGAAAATAAGGAAGCCAAAAAGAGTGCACAGTAGTTCACTAAATTATTCATTTAATCATTATTGATCTCAGAAGAATTAGCAAATGGCATGCTCTAGCTGAGCACAAAGTTATTCATCTTTGATTTAAATCTTAGGGGAAGCTGAGCTACATTATATTCATGCAAACCACAACAAAACACAATAGGCAATTTCCTCAAAAATGTTTAACAACATAAATTAGAAAACTGGCTATGTTCATATAATTCAATTACAAAAAAACAAAATTGTTGCATTTGTGCTACAATCCAATCAAAAGGATTTAGGAAAGCACAAGGTGGCAAAGCATTTTAAAGGGAAGGTACAGCCTTCTGATTGTAACTTACCAGGACTCTTGAAGGTTCCTTCTTTATCCTAGAATAGCCATCAGAACCAGTGTACTCAGACTTTCTTGTATTTCTGTCCAATGCAATATAATTTCCACTATAGTGTTTTGTTGGTTTTTTTCGTGATCAGAAGTTCAATAGTACCTATGAATCATGTAGGGTTAAAAAGTTAAAGTATATTATTAAAACCCCGCATTAGACCATTTACATTGTGAGTGCCTCTGAGCATTTTACTGAGAAGGCATTTGTGATAATATAGGTGGCAAAAAGCCCTTTCTCAGAAGCTGGGGAAAAAAAAAATGCATATAGGTGGACTTGTTTAATGTTATATCTGTCACCCAAATACAGCCCAGGAATATGGCAGAGGCATGGCTATATCTTTGTGGATATGCACAGAATGTGTATGACAGGGAGCACCCATGGAGGGAGTAATGAGGTAGATGAAGCTTTCTAAAATAAAATTATGATATTTGGCCAACATGTAGGGTGGGATTTGATTGCTTAACATCATTGTATAGCACAGTGTCCTGCCTGGCCTCCAGGTGCTAATGCAGGGTGTCACATGTCTCTGCTACATACTGTGTAATATCCATTCACCCTTTACTAGGGCCTCAGATACCCCTAAGAACCACAGAAAACATTTTACCTCTATGGATACAAAATTCAAACCTGTTCTCCAGGTTCATTTTCTCTGAAGCTTGAGAAATCCAAAATACAAAGAGCCACGGTCCTAGGTTCAACCACTTAAACCATGACAGCCACTTGCCCAAAATGTTCTGGTCTCCTGGTCACAGCCCAGAGCACTCTTATCACAGCTTTCAAAGCCATGCTGTTTGACAGCATAAGATTTCTATATTCATGGAAACAAAAAGAGAACAGGACTTGTGGAGGCTTTTTTGGACTGGTGTTTAGGTTATTATTCTCAGCTAAAATAGAGAATTCTTTGGATATGACCTTTATAAGCAAGACATTTCTGATTTTTATATTAAATAATCTGTTGACAAGAATCATATCTCAAGTAATTTGTTTTAGATGAATGCCTTAATTCCTACGCTACAATGTCTGTCTATTTCACTGGGCAGGAGAGGAATCTTTCTTTCCTTTTCCACATAGCGGTAAAGGCAAAAATAGGGAAAAGTACCTGTCCTTTTGCATCATAGCTGCTGGTTTCCCCCTAGATTATGGGCTTAATTGTCTCCTGTCTCATCTTCCTCCCATAGGTTAATGCTGAACTCTTCTGGCAATTGTATATAAGGTGGAAAAACCTTTAGACTCTGAGATGAAACCTAGTGCTCATAGGGGATTCCAATGAACATTAACATGACACTTTTACAGCATTCTCAATGATAATTTATTTTCTGCAAACTGCATCAGAAAATGAGTAGCTGCACAGATGACATTGACCCATTCTAGTTGTTCACCCTGAAGGAAAACCAGGCAGAACACAGCCATTGTGCACTGTACGTGCCAGCAGTCTGCCAGCCAGCCACCAGGCAAGTACCAGCCAGCCTTACAGGTCACTGTGCTCCTCGGTGCCATCCGGTTCCTGGTGAGAATTCATGGCAAACAAGGAGGGGTCCCAGGATTAAAAAGGAAAAGAAAATCAGTTTTAGCCCACAGACGAACTTGTTTTGGTTCATCCTGTAGACAGAATACCATCGTCCCACCAATTCTCTTTTGAATACGTGAAACACACATACTGTTTGGGTACACAAAGTGAGATTTGTGTACCTTATACTCAAGGATGTTCAGAATAGAAAACTGTTTTAGGAATCCCATCACAAAACTTATGTGTAATACAACATTCACAATTACAGTGCAGCTGTGCAGGAGAAGCAGTAAGAGTTCTTGATTTCACATGCAAAGAAGTTGCCAAAGGCTCATTAAAAGAAATCTCAGAGGGCATTAGAGGACCTGTGTCCCCTTAACTCTACACAGTAGACGGGACAGCCCATTTACTCTACCTACTGAAGCTGTCTATTAACACTCTGATACAGCCTACAGGGCCAGCTAAGAAGAAAAATGCTGACTGCATATTTTTGTTGCTGTTTATTCCCTTATGGAGTAGGACTGAGCAAATGTATTAAGTGCAGCATCTTTTGGATGTGAAGTAGAAGCAAAGCACAAATTATATATAAACCTCAATAGT